TGGATGAAAGATGAGCAGATTTTGCCTGGCGTTCTTGGTAGGGGGCGGCAGCTGAAGGATGCACTCATGTTTGGATCTGACAGCAGCTGTGGTATCCAATTCAAATTCACTGTGGCAGGAAGAAAGAGTGTGAATGCTAAAGAATCCAAGGTGTTTGTAAATACTCTGCTTTGCTACCCATTCAAATCTGGTTTGCATAGATTGCTGCAGTTGCCGGTATAAATGTAGAATGACATTTATAAAAAAAAAATAATGTGCAACCGGTGATGAGTTTTCCTTCTAAATGTTTTTTAAAACAGTATTGCACAATCCATTGGTATTCATATAAAATAGAGAAAGAGTGATGATTAAAAAGCAGCTTCTTCTGCCTACTGTGTATTTCAGGGAAGAAAATTAATTGTGATTTCATCAAAAGCTTTCTGCACGTAGGTTTGAGAATCACCTATATTTTAGCTTCAGGTAGATTTTAAAGTTAACGAACTATCCATTTGTCTTACTAAAAGAACTAGTTAAATGGGCTGCAAATTCTCTTTTTCTTGAATGGGTAGTAGGGTGGCAAAGAGCCTTCAGACACTGAAAAGTCAAGGAACAGCCATCAGGTATCCACTTTGAGTAGATGACTTATTAGTAGATTGACCTCAGTGCATCCTTAACTGAACTTCTAAGTGGTGCATTAAATTCCCTTATAAACACTAGATATGGACTTTGTTCATATTAGGGACCTTCTGAGGTGATGAATGTCCTTCTGTGCATCCTCTGTGCTCGTTTTCTCAGACCCTTGTGGAAGTTTCACCACTGTGGATGAAGTTACCAAAAAAAATAAAATAAAATAAAAATGGGTTGGAATAAAGATGACATGGAATTCCAATATCTGTTTTGTTTTGCGGTAGTGGAGAACAGATTTGAGGAAAATTACTGGGGATTTTAAAAAGTGGAGAAATGGGATAAGCATGGATACATTTTTAGTTTTCACATGGAAAGGACACAGTTATATACCTGCATTTTGGAGCTATCTATGCATTGAATTGTGTCAGTTCTTAGCATGTTCTAACAGATGAGGGCCTGGGCCTCCATTGTCATACTGGGCTCATGGAACTTCTTTTACATCACTTGGGCTTCTGTGGCCCTGTGCAGAAAGGCAGCTGGCACAGCCAGTGGTGATGCAGAATATCAGACTTCACTGTGGAACAGCTTGGATTTTCCATTTTTTCCCTGCCTACCTGGGATCACCCTTATTGCCCTGGCTTATAAACGAGACAGTGACCCCATTTAAGAGTCCAAGGTGACAGATGGCTAGGTGATCTTCACCTGTTTTTTCATACTGTCTCCTGAATCCATAAATGTGTCAGAATTAAAATATAGTTTATGCTTTGACATCAGAGGGGGAAAATGAAGCACAGCTGTGTTGTCCTCTGGCTGGTGGTGCACAAACACCGGAGATCAATGTGTGTGCCTCTTTGCAAAAGATCACCAGTGACATTGGAGCTTTACTTAGGAAACAACAAGAAATGGCTTGATTGAGAAGAATTACTTAGGCAATCTCTCGCTGTTATACTTGGAATTATGGTTGGCAACTCCAAATGTATCAGCAATAGAGTCTTGTGTTGTGGACATAACTCAGGGCAGCTTCCTTTAAATTAGAGGATCCTTAATATAGGTTACAGTAGACTCAGAACCCTTGTGCAATGGTGTACAAACTCTATGCAAATGTGCATGCATCTGTGTCTACATGTGAGGGAAGTCTCAAAGAATCTGTGATAAAAAATAGATTAAGAATAACTACAGTAATGAAATGTCAAGATCATTAACAGGAAAATCCACCATTAACATTGAATTTTTATCATATATAGTGGTTCCTACCAAAGTCAGTGAGTGAGGCAAAAATCACAAGTGGTCAAAATCACTCACAAAAATCCCATAGGAAACACCACATTAGAGATCAATATACTTTTTTTCAAAAGGCCAAGTAGTCAGTTTTCCCTCTCTCCAGTTGAGCTCCAGATTCCTGTATCCTACTTCATAGTCATCCTAAGATACAGTAGGTGAAAACACCAACACTATTTAAGTTGTACTCTCTGTCTCTCAACTTTGGCTGAGCACATATAGTCGAATTCAAACAGGATAAATATGCATACATTTTATGTCTTCACTTTATTTGAAAATTCTAAAACTTTTGAGGTTGGCATACAATGATTCCCATTTTATAGATCACAAAATTGAGGCTCAGAGAGGTTGATGGAACTATGTGTCTTAGTTTTTAGATGGAAAAGTCTTTTTTATTACCTTGACTCAAAGAGATGAATTGTATTATGTCTATAGTTCTACATAGTAAGTGGCACAGTAAAGACCACAATTATTTCTCGATATCCAATTCAAGGTCTTTTTCACTGGAAGGAAAAATCAGTAATGCTAACCAGCAAAGATAGTTAGTAATGATAGAAGCAGCAAAAATACTATAAGTGTAACATTCAAGGTACTTCTTTTACTCCTTTCTTTGGATGTGTTCATTCAATAACCTAATTTTCCATTTTCTACTTTTTTTTCTGTGCATTACAATTCAAGTTCCTATGGAAACACTAAACATTATCAACTTTACATATACCCATCATGTTAATTCCATCATTAGAGTTTTGTCAATGTCCAATGAGATAATATAAGTAAAATTCTTTTGACAAATCTGTAAATGCAATGCATTATTATAAGTAAGATCAAATTTTATGAGCAATATTATTGCTTTGGCTATTACTGCTATTAGACATCAGTTTAGTTACTGTATACAGCTATGTTTCCCAACAGGGATAAGGAGTGGGGACATATTAGAATGGCCCAGGAAGATTTTTCAAAATATACATTATACTCTTGTTAATCCTAACTCATCTCACCTTCCTCCGCTCTTCAAGATGTACTAATACAAAAAAATCTCAAGAGATTTGAGTGTACATATTTTAAACAACCAAATAAATGGCAAAAATAAACTCCCTGGTGATTCTAGGTTATATATCTTGGTTGATAACCACTAATCAATACTCCAGGGAGTAAATTCATTCATTTACTCACTCACTCATCCATCAAATACTTTTGAGCATCCACCACATGCTATGAACTGGGCTAGTTGGGCAATTCATTTACTAGCTCAAAAGGCAAACGGAATGACCACTTCTGTAGTTTCCCATTTATATTTATTAACAGAAACATGTTATAAAGACACTAATATTTTACACTAGTGTAGGTAATTAATATTATTTAGGAACTGATAAAAAAGAAATATATTTAAGAGCTACTATGCTTATTAGAAACAGTGGAATTTGGTAACCAGCAGTTTTTGTCTTTAATCACATATATCTATCACATTTTGACATCCGGAAAAAGAGGAAATGTTGAAAAGAAGAAATCAGAGAAATGTCCAAGTAGGTCAAGAATACTGTAGCTCTTTTTTATAGTCCTAGTTATGATATGTAGGGACTATGAAAAGCAATGACTTGCTATCACTACAAGTACTTTTTGTTGGGGTGAAATGTAGATTTTGACATCACAGAGCAATGTAATAAAGCAATAGAATATAAAATAATATAGAATAATGATTATAGGTCCATGATATAATGGATATTTAGTTGATACAATATATAGCAAAATAATCTCCTTGTCTAAATTGTAGGCCTACAATGGTAGGTCAAGCGATTGGCTGTGATACTATTAAGTGGTACATCAGACAACTAACTGTTGGTAGTCTTCTTTTTAATTTATATGTACTGTTTTCTATTTCACTTAAAGTTTCCTCTTCTCCCATGGCCCATCTTGCATGGCTCCTTCAAGCTGAGACTCCTGTCTTTGCAACAAAATGTCAAAGAACATGGGGGCTCCATACCTCACAGACCTAGCACTTAACTGTGGGATTTATCCAGTCTTTGTATCTGATTCTGCTCTGTTTCAGAACAACTCACATTCTGGAATCCTGGTTCTTGATCATGTTTTAGTAATCACTTTGTACTTTTGATTTGCCTGCTTGCAACCTTGGCTCCTTTCAATGTGGCTACACCCTCTAAGACTATCTGGGGAAAATATCCCTTCCCTCTGGATTTGGCCTTGGTACCCTTAGCACAAATACAATTCTGATACTTAATTTTGCACTGCCTTTCCAGTTGCCTCCAATTCTGTTTATGCTTGGCCATCATGTATTTCTGTGGTTCCCAAATCTGGCTCTACTTCAGCCATACCCAAGGAGTTTCTGAAAATACAGATTCTAGGGCCACATGCTAGACTTGCTGAATTGAAACTTTCAAGGTGTCACGTTTTGGAATGATGAAAATGATTGACGTCTGCACTGTTCTTTATGATCATCACTGGCCATATGTGGTCATTTAAATTTAATGTTAAATAAAATTAAAAATTCAGTTTCTCAGTTGCTACAGCCACATCATTCAAGTGTTCAATAGCTGCACATGGCTATTGTTGGCACAGTTCCAGGTTGTGGGTTCCAAAAACCTTGCAGCTTTGTTCCTGGCATGTTTGAAAACCATTATGTTAGATGACCAGTGACCTCCCATTGATTTCATATAGCTCTGCTGGTTTAAGAGAGGTAGCTGACTTCTGTCCTAAGACCAGATCTTGAGAAGTCTTAAGAGAAAGACTGGTATGAATCCAGTGAGGATGTGGGAGCATCTATTTAACTCAATATTTTAAAACGTGGGGAATAAAAACAAATATAAGAATGATTCTATCATATAAATGAGAGGATACAGTTGGTGACAGTCAGATAAGTTAACTAATATGCCTGGTATTATGTTTACATGACAGTACACACACACATACACACATGCACATGTATGCACTCACACATACGAAGGTATTCCCAAGATAATTCTCTTAACAATAACAAAAAGGATGCAGAAGTTTTTTGTGTATATTAATTAGGAGAAACACAACCCATATTAGGTCAACTGGATTACATTACAGTCAGGTCAGTTGCTGTTGCTAAGCAGCAGAATGATGCATTGACTATTCTGGGATATGTGGCAACTGTCCTGACCTGCAGCTGAAGCTAGTGGCCAGGATAGTCAGGTGACACAAGAATGAAGCCATGAAAGGTAAACTGGAGGTCATTGCTCCCATGAACCTCCCAAATACTTTTTATGGAGTAGGCTCAATGTTAAAGGCAATGATGTTGACTGGTATGAAATCTGTTGTTAAGGTATAAGATTTAGGGCTCATGTATTTCTTCCTTGGAACACAGATACATATTTACAAAATGGATTTCATACTTAGGACAATATCTGATATATTACTGCCCACTCTGCCTTCCTCCCAGCCAAACGATTATGGCTTAACCAATGGGTGGGATTATGATGGGAAAATGTCTATATAAATAAGAGAAACCAGGATTTCTATTTGTAGAGAGGATCCCATGAACCAATCAAGCTACTGCAGAGAGAAGCTCCACAGTGAAAAAATCTGATAAGAAATGGAACCCATTTGGCATATGACTATTTCCATTTTAGGCATGATATTTGGGTAATGTCTACTCTTTTTCACTGATGAGATCTGATGAGATCAACGTAAGTACTAATTCTGCAAATTGTAAACCTCACTAGGGGATAAAATTATCTGCATTGCTTGTCAAGCAACATGGCAAGGAAGCAGTTTTCAGATATAAATGTTAACCTTTTCATCTGAGACATTTTTCTGTCCACATTCTCTACCATATTCCATGGCAATCTCTTGAAAATACAGAAGATGTGCCTATTCAAAAAGTGTTCCTGGCCATCATTTTGTTCATAAAGATTAGCCAGATCGCTGAGTGCGCTAAAGGTATTTTATTTGCTCAAATTCAGTAACATACTCTTAAGACCTGTCATGGAACAAAAAGACAGAATGACAAGTTCTAAATGACAAGTGAGTTAGTAAAGTTAAGGCAAAGACTTCACTTAGTTTGGGGAAATTGTTGAATTTTAGTATGAGCAAAATATTATAAATTGTATTTATCATTAGTCAGCAATTTTTAATAGGAAGATTGTATGTTGCTAACATTAATAATCATCATCTGGAATATTTAAATCTATTCCTATGATGTACAATCCTTACCCTCTATAGGGTGACAGTTTGAGATGATAGTAATTCTGGTGACAGAGTTTCAGGTCACAATTTATACCAGTACCTAAAATGAATCAATCATTGTCACCAAGATATGGATGCAGATTAGCCAGTAGGCTAGGCATAGAATTTGCAATCATAATGGCCCTGTAAAGTTAGTTTTATATCTATTATATTGGGAGGCAGTTAGGTGGGTCATGGTTAAAGAATATAATTATTTTAGAAACAGTGGGAACCTGGGTAGAATTCAGACTCTGTTGTTTGAGTCTGGGCAAGTTATTTAGAGCTCCATCACTCAGTCTCTATGTTTATAGAATGGTACCTACTTCAGAAGGTTATTGTGAGGAATAAAGGAGATTATGCATATAAAAGAGTTAACATGGTGCCTGGCATATAATATATGTTTAGTGACTATTGCAATATTGCTATTATTTTTATTATTCTTAACTCAGGTTATACAGACATTATTTTTCTTGAGCATATACTTACAATTTCTGAATATTTTTTGTTTTAAATTCATGTTAGTTAAACAGTCTTTAAACGGCATATAAGTGTAAAAATTGAAAAGTGAAAGGTCTTCTCCTTTTCCCTCTTGATTCTTCTAAATTGTTTTCTATTAATAAAATTTGTTTGCTTATTTATTTTGACATGTAAACACATATTGCCTCAAAGGGTTCTTGCTATACGTACTATTTTGATGTATATTTTAACCACTCAACAATATATCATGGGCATTTTTGGTCAAAAATGTCTCTTTAGATGCATATAGAATGACTTTTACATAAATAGTTTTAAAATGCATTGTTTATATAGTTCTGCAGCTTACCTGCATGAGTTCATTAGTTCCGCTTTGTTCTGTTAACCCCTGCATGGTACTCTGCAGTAGCCATTAATTCCATAATTTATTTAATTATTCTCCTAGTGAAGGACAGCTAGGCTACCTCAAATTTTTCAGAACAGGCTTCTTATTTTCCAAGCAAATAGAAACTCTCACTTCTCTGAAGCCTTTGTTTTCTCAGTGAATAAAATATACTTGTGCTACCACCAGGATCAAAACATCACAACTAGTTGCTGTACATCTCAGGGAACAGCTATCTAAATTAGCCTAATTTCAGCTTTCTGGAGATTTCTATGACCTTCCCCTTCTGCAGGCCATAATTTATTAACAAAACAGTATGTTTTAAAATGCCTTTTTTCTTTCTGAATTTGTTTACATCTTTAAAAAATGCACTCACTACTATTTATTGAGCAACTACTTGCCAAATGCTTCCAAATGCTCCCCCTACCCCCAGAATATTATGGGAGTACAAACGTTTTGGTTACATGAATTGCTTTTGATAAGTGTGTCCATCACCTATGTAGTGTGCATTGTACTTGTTAGGTGTGAATTTACCTATCCCCTCCTCCCCCCTTCACTGCTTGATTTCCATTGAATTTTATTACCATATGTGCATGTAAGTGTTATTTATAAGTTTCAATTTAGTAGTGTGTATATAGTTTTTGTTCTTCCATCCTTGTGATACATCACTTCAAAGAATGGTGTCCGGTTCCATCTAGGTTGTTAGAAAAGGTATTATTTCACCATTTTTTATGGCCAAGTAGTACTCCATGGTATACATTTATTTGATCCACATTTTATTGTTCCAATCATGTATTTATGGGCACTTGTGCTGACAAAGCAGAAAAAAAACATACACTGAGGAAAAGAATCCCTACTCAATAAATGGTGCTGGGAAAATTGGACAGCCACATGTAGAAGACTGAAACAGGATCCACACCTTTCACCTCTCACAAAAATCAACACACAGTGGATAACAGACTTACACCTAAGGCATGAAACTATAAAAATTCTAGAAGAGGATGTTGCAAAATCTCTTAGAGATACAGGCCTAGGCAAAGAATTTATGAAGAAGACCCCAAGGGCAATCACAGCAACAACAAAGATAAATTAATGGGAACTGATGAAATTAAAAAGTTTCTGCACAGCCAAGGAAACAATCAATAAAGCAAATAGGTAACCTAAAGAATGGGAGAAAATATTTCCATACTATACATTCAATAAAAGGTTGGTAACTAGAATCTATATAAAATTCAGGAAAATTAGCAATAAAAAAAGTCAGACAATCCCATTAACAATTGGGCAAAGGCTATGAACAGAAACTTTTCAAAAGAAGAAGACTAAAGGCCAACAAACATATGAAAAAATGCTCAACATCTCTAACCATCAGGGAAATGCAAATCAAAACCACAATGAGATGTCCTTTAACTCTAGTGAGAATGGCTTTTATTAAAAAGTTCCAAAATAATAAATGTTGGTATGGATGCGGAGAGATAGGAACACGCATACCCTGCTGGTGGGACTGCAGACTAGTGCATTTCAGCAACTTGAGCAAGCATTCCTGTCTTCGCATTTGCCCTGCTGGGCCTGGAACACTTTTCTGCTGGTCTTCGTGGAGCTTGCTCCCTCACTTCTTTCAGATCTGTGTTCAAATGTCACGTCCTCTTGGAAGGGCTTATCCGATTGTCCTAACTCCACAGCTTCACTCTACTCTCTTCCCCTGCTTTGCTTTTCTTCCCAGTGCTTATTGCTCCCTGATATCATAGCGTGGATGTGTGTTTTATTTTGGGCATTGTCTGGGTGCTGACCGCCCACAGTGCAATGTAAGGAACCCAAAGGCAAGGCATGCTCCTCTGTACCGGCAGCACTTAGAATAAAGCCAGGCACCTAGTGAACATGGAGGGAGCTTTTACTAGAAGACAGAATACATAATTGCCCCAGCTTATTTTTGCTAGTTTATTTCCTAATACTTATTTTTACAAAATTAAGTGATTCCATGCCTTACCTTTGGCCATATATATTGTGGCTATTCCTGGAAACACATTATGTTGCAGAAGCTAGTTTGAACATGAAAATAGAGCCAATAGAACATGTGAAATAGAGCATGTGCCTTTGTTATTTTTAACTTTTAATAAAGGACTATTCACTATTTTAATTGAAATATTGAAGTCTTATTTAAATATTATATTTTGGAAAAGTGCACAATGCATAAGTGCTGATTTTCACAAAGTGTACAACTGTGCAACCATCAGCCAGATCAAGAAAAAGCACATTACCAGTGCCCTAGAAGCCCACTATTATTTCCTTCCAATCACACCAGCTACTCCTCCACCTAAGGTAGCATGACTTGGTTTCTAATAGGATAGATTAATTTAAACTATTTTTCATGTCTTCATTTTAACATTCATTTAAATTCTCCATTTACCATGTTTGTCCCTTGTTGAGTCCTTACTCTCCAAGGCCCTAGAATCCTTTACAGAGAAAAAAAAATTAATTAAGTCCTTTAACATCTCTTATTCTTTTAACAGTTTTGTAAGAGCAAAACTGCAAAGCCTCATAGTAATTCTCAGTAGACACAGGAACTACAAGCAATGAGCCGAGAGTTGAAGGCATGTGATCTGTGAAATGATTTGGGCTCAAAATACTTTGGGGAATAGCAACTTTTGTGTGTGTCATTTTAAAGATAAACAATATTTAAGTAGAATATTGTGCAAAATAATGAAATATATCAGTGATGATAATATATTTAGAAAAACATATATAGTCCAACAATGCACTTTAAAGAGAGAAAAATCATCTGAAAAATATGTGATTTGTGGTTTTACCACCTCCCAGGAAAAAGGAGGGGGAAAACATAGGAGGAAACTATAATGAATTAATGTATTTAAAATACGGTAGTAGATTTCAAGAGCATTTTCATGGAAATTACAGTGTTGTTCAGGAGCATCCATTACAGGATTTAAAAAAATAAAAAATGTGTGTTGCTGATTTATTTATGATGGCTACTGCACAGATGGTATTAGTACCATTATATCCTTGAATCCTTTCTGTAAGCATCTTAATATTTTTTTTTACCAAGATCAATTATATTAAGCCCAACATATGTTTTAAAACATATCACTTACTATGTAAATTTATATCATTTGTATCTTTAGTGGT